TGATGATTATAAGAGTTCGATATCGTTCTGTCATTTTATAATTTGACTTGGTTTTATGTGGTTGGCCATTGATTGATTAGAAAGAGAGTCGCAAGCTTTTCATGGAAGAAGAGAAAGCAAGTTCATGCAACGTTTTCAATGCCATGCCACATAGCATTAACGGTGTTGGGAGTATTTTTAACAGAAGGACTTGCTTATTTAATGTAATAAATTATAAGGATTTCATAAAAAGAAAAAAAACAAGAGGGACCTAATTTAAAATTGGGTAAAACTACAAGGATTGTCATATGAGTTTTTGCTAATATTAATAATACAATTAATAAGGTTGGATCTAGTAGAAGAAGCTAGTTCCTCACAACATGTTGAATCAAGGATTGAATTTTGGTTGGGAGTAACATTTAGTGCCTAATAGTACCTCTAATAGGATTGCCTCCAATAAAAAAAATACTCGTCTTTAGCTAAAAAAAAAGCAATACCGTTTAAAAAACAATATTAACAATACTACCATCCAAATTATATTCCTGACACTCCCCTTCAAGCTTGCAGCTGCAGATGCTCTTGCAAAAACATGTATTCAAGAAAATTGCCTAACTGAATTCGTGTCCTACAAATTTTAAGGCCTTGCGTGACAATGTTTGTTTGGGATTTTACCCCCCCCCCCCCTCAGCCTAATTTTTTCATTTTTGGTACTCAAAAAAAGCTGGGGGCTATACCTGTTTAGGGCACCCAACTTGCTTGTCAATCTCTCATGATCCTCTTTTCCATGTGCCTTAGTGATAAAGTCCAATTTTTATAAATTTTATCCCACAATAATTTAGGATTTAAATGATAATTTTGAGTTTAAATGAACTTTTTATGCATTATTGGATTAATTAGTTGATTTTTGGATTTTGCATAAAAATTGAGATTTTGGATTAAAAATATAAATATTTGTGATTTCCTATTTTTGACTTGGAATTAATTTTTTTCTATTTCCTTGAAAACAAGTCTCATATTTTTAGAAAGATTATTTTTAGAAAGTTTTACAATTTCTTGCCTAATTTTTATGTAGATTTAATATTTTATTTTTGATTATACTTGGATATAATCTACATTAATGGATACACTTAAAATCTTGTAAGTCAAGAAAGAGCATATAGGAGATCCAATGGTGCAAGATTGTTTCTTGGAATCTAAGCACAATCCAATAGCTAATATCCAGCGGGTCAATTAATTACTAATGGGTTTGAGCTTTGGATCCACAAAAATTTCCTTTTCTCTCATTATACTATTTTTCTTATTTTTGGAGGAGGGAGGCACGCCTAAATAACACACTTTCCATTCTCCATTGATTCAGGCGAGCAACACACTTCCATCTCCATTCATTAACGCACAATTCAACGCCTAATACCCCTTAATCATTGATCCCATATTCACGCCTAAGGATACCTCTTTTCCATTGTTCATTGACTCACGCACGGACATCAATTTTTCAACGCCAACTCTCCTCCCCCTCATTCACGTCAAGCAAACCCACCAATTAAATAACCATCCTCTTTCACCAACATAATCCACGTCCTCTTCTTTCTTAATCCACTTCATCTCCACGAAGCATTATCTTCTCTTCTTCACCCCTCATGGCTGCGGCATCTAATGAATTTAGAGGGAAGATAATTTTCATGGAGGCTTAAGCTTGTTAGGGAGGCAATTTGGGAGGAGCATGAAGGAGACTAGAGCCTTGGGCTAGCACTTGAAGACTACAAGGGAGTGATATTCCATTTATCTTTCTAATTCAAGGACTTGAAATTGTTTAGTTTTAAATGAGTTCAAGTTGTAATTTTGTTGAGACAATTTAGTTCTAAATTGTCAATTTTATTCTTGGATTAAATTGATATTTGGATCTTATTTGTGTCAAGATACTTGTTGGAATTTATGTTTAGAACCTTTACATTGTTAATTGAATTTATAATTGAGTTTTCATTATGAGTTTAGTTATCAATGTGGTTTGAATTGCAAAATTTGGGTTCTTTTGCCTCTTAATTGTTTAATTAAGTTGGTTGGTTATCTGATTGTTTAATTGGATAATTTCAAACATAATTTCCAAAATTAATTTGAATTATTTTCATTGGTTTTAATAAGCTTAATTAACCAACTTTACACTGTTATGAGTTCTCTAATGGTTTAAGGGTTTTTGAAGTTAAGGGTTTCCTTTATTTCAAGTAGGTAATTAAGTTTATTAATTCCACTCTCTTATCACCTCCTTTTGGTCTAATTAACTGATTAAGGTTATGAGGTTGAATTCATGCGAATCCTAAGTTGTTCCCTCTATCGTACCTGAAGAGAAATCTCTGAATTTTTTTCTTGCTAATTCTCTTTGCTTTCTGATTAATTCTCTTTATTCATTATTTTTATTTTCCTTCAAAAAACCCCCCCAAAAATTGCATTGCATTCATTTAGTTTAATTTAATTTTCATATAGATTTTAGGACGTTTGCATTTTCCATTTAGAATTAGAATTTTGCATTTTAGTTTAGGTCCAATTTAGTGTATTTTTTTAATCACCTGAATTTTTACCTAAAGAAACCCATAACTTGCTCCTTGGAAGTAATGACCTAGGTCGATTCTGAACTACAAATTAATTGAGACCTAGTTTAATTGAGTGCTTTAACGACAAAAGCATCATCACTTAGTAAGCACATTTGTTAATCCTTAATGCTCACATGCCACAAACTAACAACTCCTGAATATCGGACAAAGTGACACGTGATCTCAATATGCTTTGTCTTCTCGTGAAACATAGGATTGTTTGTAATTTGTATTGTATTGCTTCCAGTCCTTAATATAAAAGGTCGTTTGATTTTTATTTTGGTCCTAAATATAAGATCTCAATCCATTTTGTCTCTTATAGTTATCTAATTTTTTTTCAAAATAGTCTTTGTAATAATAGTAGTTCTAGCCAATACACTTAATTAGTAATGATATTTTATGAAAGATAACACCTATTTATTGTAAATAACCAACTTAATCAATTTTTTTAATCTACTCAAATTAGTCAGTTAGTTTCTATATTAAAAATCGGAGGTGGTGCTGGCTTTACTATCACAAAATACCTAAATTGATTCAGGTGCTCTTACTCCAAGGTCTCTTAGCATGCGGGTCAGCTAAGTGACTGGGACACCATACGTTGCTTCTTGGACTTTCAACAAATTAGAGACCCGCCAAACTTTATGTCGTGACCTGTTACTCGCCCCCTTTTATCGTGATAAGTAGCCAATTAGTGGAATCCACATAATATTCTAGGTCCTTTCTGATTGTTGCAATAAGAATAACCTCCATTCCAGGCACAATACGTACAGTAGCCTCTACATGTGTTTTTCTTAGGAGCACTCATGAATTGACTCGAGGTCTACACCACAAAACAAATATCAGGACTTGCAACAATAAATTAAGAGAGCCTATAACCCATACTTTTAGTATACCTTTGCTAGAAACCTTGACTTTTTGTCATTATAACATGTATAACATGTATGAAGTTTGTCAACTTAAAATAAGAATGTAATATACTCCTCTAGTCCTATTTATAAGTCACTTTCAGTATATTTTATATGGACCAAGAAAAACATCAAACTTCATTAACTCTTATTTAGAATTTGATAACTTTTTAATTTTATCCCTATTTAATATACATTATACCTCATATAAACAAAATCGGTACAATAATAAATTAGGGATAAAATTGTACATTCATACAAAAAACTTCTCTCAGTGCCTTATCAATAGGACTAAAAAATGTCGTTTTTCTCTGTCTTATAAGTTTTTCTCTGTCTTATAAATAGGACCAAAGGAGTACTATCTCCTGTTCTAATTAAAAGATTTCATTTATAATCTATAAGGGTGTGTTTGGATTAGAGGTGGCAGCAACAACTTTTTTCCAATCTGACTTTTACAGAAGTCAAATTGAATAAAGTCAGATAGTGTAATATGATTTATGTTTGGATTGGATTTTGTAAAAAAAAAATCAGTTTGAAAAACCGAAATTTGTTTAGATGATGAATGTAAAAGTAAGTTTGGATACAAAATGACTTACAAGGACATGAATTTTATTAAGCAGCACATATCTAATATTAGATATATATAATGTGACCATTTTAAAAGAAGTAAGGGAAATAAAATTATTAAAAGTAAAGAAATTTAATTTATTATTAGAAAGAAATTATATATATAATGTGACCATTTAAAAAGAATTAATGAAAACAAAATTATTAAAAATAAAGAAATTTAATTTATTATTATAAAGAAACTATATATATAATGTGACCATTTTAAAAGAAGTATTGAAAATAAAATTATTAAAAATAAAGAAATTTAATTTATTATTAGAAGGAAATTGAAAAACACTAAAATACTTAATTAAATATATGTAATGGATAAATATATATACTTAATCAAATGGCAGAAGAGTGTATTTGTTTTTTTTTTTTTTTATCTCAGGTGAGAGAAAATGCATGTAAGAGGGTTAGGCAGGTAACAAATTTTAAAAATCCAATTAATGGTCTAACGGTATTCCTTAACACTTTGTCCACTGAAAAAAAACAGCCTCAAATAGTTTATTGTATAAGTTCATTTCAGAACTAGAAGTCAGATACACAAAACGTTGACCCAAACATCATTTTTCCTCTCACCTCCAGGTTTTTCGTTAGAATGCATGTTTGGAGGCTCAAACGACATTCCAAACATACTCCAAATAAAGTTTTATAATTAGGACAGTAGGTAGTGACTAAAAGCACAATGCAAGTATGAGGTTTAGCTTTGAAGGATGCAATTTTTGGGAAGCATATTAGATAAATTAAAATTATAAGGTTGAACTAAAAATTAGGGAATAGTGTAGCGGCTAAAAAATTAATTTTTACCGAAAGAAATAATATTCGGAGATGTCCACATGTTCGTATTCGAATATGGCCACATTTTAGGAATAGTCCACAAACCCTAGCCCTTTTCACTCTCATTCTGTTTCTGTCAGTCTCTTGACTGAAGCCCTGTTGTGAAGATGGCTTCACGCAGATTGTTGTCGTCTCTGATTCGATCCTCATTGCATCGATCTCCATTGAAGTCCTCCCTTACCAGCTCAAGGCCCAGAATTTCTTCCCCGAGCGGTGTGGGTCGTCCCTCTCCGTATGGCTACCTCCTCAACCGCATCGCTGAGTACGCCACTTCTGCGGCAGCTGCTACGCCACCGACTCCGGCGAAGAAGGACTCCGTTGGTGGCGGTGATGGAAAGATCGTCGACGAGTTCACCGGAAAAGGTGCGATTGGGCAAGTGTGCCAGGTCATTGGTGCTGTTGTCGATGTTAGATTCGAGGAGGGTCTGCCACCAATCTTGACTGCTCTTGAGGTTATGGATCACTCGATCCGATTGGTGCTGGAGGTGGCGCAACACTTGGGTGAGAACATGGTTAGAACCATTGCCATGGATGGGACTGAGGGGGTTGTTAGAGGACAGCGCGTGCTCAACACTGGATCCCCTATCACCGTAAGCCTTGATTCGCATTCCCTTTATGAATTGCTTTTCTGAGTTACCTTTCTATCTGGTATTATTGTTTGATTACGCTTAACTTTGGAAGCCTCAAATTACATTCGATTTATTGATTCTATTTCGTACTTAATATCTAGTATTCTTTGATTTGGCTACGGAAATCGGGGCTTTGAAAGATTGCTACTTGAAAGATTTGATACTTAGGTGGCCTTGTGAAGCTGTAGGTTGTTGACCCATCAGCTGGCCCTGTCTAACAACTCTTTTCAACAAGTTTACAATTACAATGCCTTTTAAATTTGTTTCTGTCATTGTAAATTTTAATGTGATGTTCATTGCGGATTCATTTGATATGATCTGGAAAAGAATTTGTCACTTTCTATGTTAGGCCTTTTTCTTATTTTGGCTTAAAAGAAGCACAGTTCGTCTTCTGACTATGCCTGCACCTAAAACGTAAAATGGGTAATATTAATGATCTGTCGTATTGATTATGTATTGGTAGTTTGCTGGGTAATTTTTATGCTTCGAAATTAGTTTTTTCTTTTTTGAATATGGTTCATTACTTTTGTTTTGTTTTCCAGAGAAATATGGTTCTTTTCGTTGTGGGTCATTTATGATAAATTTTCCCAATTGCGTATATAAAATGATGTACCAATGTCTAATTATGCTTTCTTTTGGCGTGTTTTTCATCCTGGTAAGTTTGTTTAGGTGGTCCATTATATTTTCTGAGTCCATTCTTTTTTCTCCTACATGTTTTGGTGGTCAAAAGCTCTCATTTTCTATTTTTTTGATGTGCTGTGTGCGCCCCATTCAGGTTCCTGTTGGTAGAGCAACCCTTGGCCGCATCATTAATGTCATTGGGGAGGCTATTGACGAGAAGGGTGAACTTAGTAAGAAACTGATATTGCCATTTATATCTGATCAGTACATAGGAGGGGGAACCAGTTTCAGTGCTTATCACTTTGATGAGCACCCTAAACTCATCCGAGCTCGATCGTCCATCTCTCGTTTGGATAGTTCGGATTTGATATTTTTTTTTATTTTTATTTGTTCGAAATAATTATTTTAACATATATAGAATCTAAAATAGAGATAATTTCTTAACTATCATTTTTTCAAAAAATAGTTTTTTCTGTTTAAAAATAATTAATTAAAAATTTTAAATTTGGACCATACAAATCAGATATAGATGATCCACATTTGATGAGTTTAGGGTGCTTATCAAGATGATGACCACTGAAACTGGTTTCATAGGAAGGCACTCTTTCATTTCATAAAGATGCTTTGACTGACTGTATATCATGTCAATCGTGTAGAAACTGAGCACTTCTTGCCCATCCATAGAGAAGCTCCTGCTTTTGTTGAACAGGCAACTGAGCAACAGATTCTTGTTACAGGGATCAAGGTATTTTGTCTTGGTTCTGCCCTTTTCTTTTCCCCCATATTTGCCACTTCGTGTGACTGCAATTTGTTTTATGTCATCGCTGTTTTTTTGTTTTCATTTTTTAATTTTCTGGGGGATATAGTATAATGACTGGATACTGATTGGCTTGTGACCGTTGACTTATAGGTTGTGGATCTACTTGCTCCATACCAAAGGGGAGGAAAGATTGGGTTGTTTGGGGGTGCTGGTGTAGGAAAAACGGTGCTCATTATGGAACTTATTAATAATGTTGCAAAAGCTCATGGTATATCCTTGGGATATGCTTGATTCATGATCCTTGACCTTTCTGCGTAATACTGAGTGCTTACCGTTTCCTTTGGTTAGGTGGGTTTTCTGTCTTTGCTGGTGTTGGAGAAAGAACTCGGGAGGGAAATGACTTGTACAGAGAAATGATTGAGAGTGGTGTTATTAAGCTCGGAGATAAGCAGGTGGACATAATGCATTTCATATGAATAATATATTTGCGATATTCAGTATTCTTCCACATATACTTATGTTGTCATCTATGCTTGCTTCATGATATCAGAGCGAAAGCAAGTGTGCCCTTGTGTATGGTCAAATGAATGAGCCTCCTGGTGCCCGTGCTCGTGTTGGTCTTACTGGGCTTACTGTGGCTGAACACTTCCGTGATGCTGAAGGGCAAGATGTGCTTCTTTTCATTGACAACATTTTCCGTTTTACTCAAGTATGAATGTTTTGAAATTCATATAAATTATCTAGCTGGTATTTCTTCTGTCCAATGCATATTTTCTGGTTCTATGATTTAATGTGCATTATAATTCATCATGCAGGCCAACTCAGAGGTGTCTGCATTGCTTGGTCGTATTCCATCTGCTGTCGGTTACCAACCAACATTGGCTACTGATCTTGGAGGTCTTCAGGAACGTATTACAACCACCAAGAAAGGTTCCATTACCTCTGTCCAGGCTATATATGTGCCTGCTGATGACTTGACTGATCCAGCTCCGGCTACCACCTTTGCTCACTTGGATGCTACAACTGTGTTATCACGACAGGTTTGATTTTTTATGCTGAGGCTGTTGGCCTGTTGCTTTGTTGTTTAACTGGCATCTATTTACTAGATTCACTTGCCACTTTTGATATCAAACAGATCTCCGAGCTGGGTATCTATCCTGCTGTTGACCCCCTAGATTCTACATCTCGTATGCTTTCGCCACTTATTTTGGGTGAGGACCACTACAATACTGCTCGTGGTGTACAAAAGGTCCTTCAGAACTATAAGAATCTTCAAGATATCATTGCCATTTTGGGAATGGATGAGCTCAGTGAAGATGATAAGTTGACTGTTGCCCGTGCACGTAAAATTCAAAGGTTTTTGAGCCAGCCTTTCCACGTTGCAGAAGTGTTCACTGGTGCCCCAGGCAAATATGTAGATTTGAAGGAGAGCATTAACAGCTTCCAGGTATGTCTGTTCTTACTGTTTACTCCCTATTGTGTTCTTTTTTAGGCTGTCTTACCTGGATATACTTGTTTACATCTTCCATACCATGTGATACCATGTAAATTTTCTACATGCAATTCCTGTAAAATATTTTCCCTTTTCATTTGTCTGCACTTTCCTTCAGCAGGTGACCCAAAAAAGTAAGATTGAGTAAAATTAAGCTTAGATACCTGAAGCTTCACATTTGATAATAAAAAAACGTGATTTTTATGTTCAAAATTATAGGCGAGTTGATCACTGCTGGTGCTCTTAACCTTTTGAACAAGACTTCCTCCATGATTGTGGCCTTGTTAGGATTTCTTATGAACTCATCACGCATGTTTTGTATCCTGAAATTCATATGCCCAGCTTGTTTATATTTTTTAGGACGCATGCATCGGCCTTTAGCTTTTAACATGAACCAGTAATCTGTTGGTCGTGTAGTGATTTTTTTGTTGCTTTGAATCTGATAGGGTGTGTTGGATGGCAAATACGATGACCTCCCAGAGCAATCATTTTATATGGTTGGAGGTATTGATGAGGTCGTTGCCAAGGCGGACAAGATTGCTAAGGAATCGACTTCTTAGTCACAGTTCTCCTTTTATTTTAATTCTTCGGATGATAGAGTAAATTAATAAATGATCCAATGACCCTTTACCATGCCAGATGTCGGAATCTCAATTTTTTGGAGTGTCATTTGCTCGAGTCACACCATTTCCTTTTGAATCTCGTTGCTTTATTTATTGCATGGTATGCAAGTTAACGGAGCCTACGGCTCTTTATCCCCATTATGTTGTCTAATAATGGTAAAAAGCAAGCTGTCATGATCATTTTTACAACTTCTTTAGCTGCTTGAGACTGAAAACGAGAAAGGATCCCCTAAATCGTGATCAAGAGGTATAATAATGGACTCCCCAACTTTTCTTTGGCTACATTCATGAACACACCCTTGCCTACAAAGTTGATAGAGGTGAAATAAGGGACTCTCCAATCATATACTAATCTTTTGGCTGAGTCAATTTGCTATGAGAAATGGCCAGCCAGCTCCGGACCATTCTCAAGGGAATAGTGAAGGCCACGACAGCTGCCAGGCAGCGATGTGAATGACAAATCAATGGTATCAAAATGCAATATTAATGAATCACAATCACGGTTTGAATTATCATCATCAGATTTCCAATGGCTTTTGAGTACACACATCACTTCCAATCCAAGAGGCTACTTTGAATTCTGTCGTGGTGGCTCTAGAATTGAAGACAATATTGGTGCACAGGAGCCACTGCTCTGTCACTTTCTTCTTCTGGGTTTTCGTCAAACCACTTCCTCAGTTATTGGTTTCTTCATCAACTTCTGTGGTCATCAGAATCCAGACTATAAAGACCTTGAATCCAGACGATGTGATGTTAATGACGTCGTCCTTTGTTGGGTTCTCTTGTTTAGGGCTAATAGCAAGAACAAAACGTTCGAGGCAGCACTCAGGATGAAGATACTAATACGGTATTATGGTCAACAAGATGCAAACAAAATCATGCTGTGAATAAGTTCCAACTACTTCACGACCTTTCTATGATGAGATCAAAGGGAAGAAAGGTTCATATGGGATAAAAACCAACTACACTATGACCAATGATTTTGAAGAGCCAGTATTGGAAAGATAAACTGATATCAATCAATCTTCCTTTTCCACTTGGTGAATTACTTCTACCCTGAAAGTGCGCCCGCGAAGTACATCTTCCACACATGACAAGATCCAAGAAAAAGGACAAGCTCACTCCAGGAAATCATAAAACACACATTAGGCTTGAAAGCATATACGGATGCGTAATAGCATACCACAACAGAAACTATAAGTGCATACCCCATAATTAGGAAAGTCTTATATGGCTCAAATCCTTACACTTGATTATCCTGCCCTAGTTAAGTGGAAAAAAACTAATGTCCCACTCAAATAAAAATAATGTATCCATGCAAAACGAGTAAATATAGTGTAAATTTAGCCTCTCCTTCTTACCTTGTGTTCAAGAGGCAGGACCTATAGCAACAATCTACCAAATTTAGCCATCATAACCAAACCAGAGATCTCTGCATAAAATCAAATGTATGATGTTGTAATATGAGAGCAACAGAAACACAGGCCAAAAATATAAAATTCAGAAATCAGAATAATAATTAAAAATAAAAAAAGTATTCAGAACACAACCTCCAGGCTCCCAGCAAATGGACACACCGACACAAATAAACATAACTGTCAAACCCGTACAGGCGAATATCAAAGGGCACCACAAATTAAAGAACAAGGAGGAAGTAGCTGCATTTTTATCATTTAATTGCAAATTACTTGAAATATTTTCAATGTGCTGAGAATGAAAAGATTTCCACGTTAGAAAGTCCAGCACAGGAATGAAACAAGCTACACACTAAAAAATGACATCCTGAAGAAAATAGTAATTCGAACCAACAAAGGACTCTAGCAGATCAAACAGAGAATCAAATTTAATAGGGATGGCAGCCATACTAGAATGGGAAAGCAGAACAGAAGTTCAAGACGAATATCAGCAAAGGGCAAAATGAATCACCTTCAGGATTGAAGGTCGGCTTGACTTTTTGGGGCTCTGTGCCTTCTTTCAGAAATATCTTAGACCCGGAATTGCTCAAACCAATGTTTTGGAGCAGCTGGGTGCATTTTGTAAACACGAGCTAGAAAAGCCTTTTCACTAGTTGCAACTAAGCTTGCAATGGAATAGTCTTTGGTACATAGACCCTTTTCCGCAAGCCACGTATGAAATCTGTACCTAGGCTTAATGCGGTTCTCTAAACCGAAAAGCAAATAACCTGGATATGTGTGTAGATACTCTAAAGAGCATCCCACTCCCTGACAGAGGAAATTCACCTTCTGCTCCAGAGTTTGAACATTTTGGTTTAAGATCTTAGGGGTCATTCTTACCATCTTACAAAGCTTGGAGTATCCAATCCCCAAACTCAGGAGGCAATCAAATCTTTCCTTTAATTCAATACTAGTGCCATGCAAGTGTGCTAAGAGATCAAAGATTGAAGCATTTTCCCCAAAGCCCCAGTTGTGTAACAAATTTAGTTTACTCATGGTGTGATTCGGGGTCCTCGAAACGTGAATCATCTCCAAGCCACTTCGGTATTCCTCAGCTCGGTCTTCATCAGGGTAGCTTGCTATATATTTCATTAGCAACTGATGATTTCCGTCCTTGATTTTATTAAAGAACCACTCGTGTAAGTCCAAAGCCCTCATTACCTGAGGCAGATTAGCAATTTTGTTTGTCCCCAATACATGATCATACTTTTGATTAACATCCTTCAGATTTTCAGTCTCCAAGCCAGAATATTCCAATAACTTCATTATGTTAATCACTGGCTTGTCTAAATTAAGACTCAACAATTCTGGGCTCTGAAGAAGCAAAGCAACTACCTCCTCGTTGTTTACACCAAATCTACAGAAATACTCAACCTTTTGAATCAACACCTCTTCATCATGTTCAAGAAAGATGTTTTTATTTCTTCCCACAAGCTCCACTAACCTTTCCTTATCACCACTTAAATCATAAAATACCCGAATTTTCCTACAAACCTCGTGCCATGAATTCATATTTCCCTCAACAGATAATGCCAGCTCGAAATCCAAAAATACCAACTTCAGAAAATTTAACAATGCTTCGCTTTCAGCACATACTTCACATCCCCCGCTCAAAGTGTAAGGGAAAGCTAAACATATACCAACTAAATGAACATTACAAAAACCATATTTCTTAAACTCCGATAGCTTAGACTTGAGTTCTCCCGCACTACTCCTAAATATGGAACTATTCTCCATATACAACTTACCCAACTCATTCCACGGAAACCCAAATTCGGAAAGCGCACCAGCCGCATCGAGAAGAGTCCGATCTTCGGAAAAGAAAAACTTGTTCGAAGGCAACAACCCAGAAATATCATTATAGTCTATGCCAATGCTTTCAAAAAAAAATTCGAACTCATTGATGGGGTGGTACCTGAGGAATTTCTTGAAATTTTTTGAGAAAGCGACAGCTGAGAAATCTACCTTTGCTATGAGACTAGCAAGCGAAAGAGGAGAGTTCTTACTAATATGCTCGGCATAAACATAAGGCAAGCAGCTTGTGCCATGGAGATATTCAGTGAGAGCATTCTGGGCTTGTAGGATAGCCGATTTCTTGTACCTGGAGTTTATTTTTGAAATGTTCGGAAGCTTCGAGCTGGTAGATAGACGGCGAGCAATGAATACGGAAAACAAATTTGAGAACATGATCGCAAAAGTGGATTCTGGGTCTTAAATTCCTACATGGCGAGAAAAAGAATCGTATTTTTCTTCACTTTCTCCCCTCTTCGAAAAAAACAGACAGTCAAGAATCGTCTTCGATTCCGGTCAAAAAAAAAAAAAAAAAAAAAAAGAATCGTCTTCGATGAAGCAACTGGTCCACGGCCTCGCAGCTCGAACGCCGGCAAGCATATCATTCCTATTTTCCAGAACGACTTGTCTTGTCTGCAAAGCAAATAAAAAGCAGCACAAGATGTGAAATCTCATCCGTTGATGCAGCGGACGATTAAATTATTGCCACGTGTCCCTCATAGTAGGAAATCGTGGCCGTCCATCCTGAGCAAACTCCAACGTTCTTCCCCTGGACCCCCAAGTTGGCTGTTCCCATTAGTAATAAATCATGGCCGTCCATTATGATAAATCTGATACGTCCATTCTTTACCCTCGGTTCTTACTGTTTAGATCAGCCATGAAGTCCCCCATTCCTTCAGCATTTGCGTCCGTGTCAATGGTCTTTGTCGACGGGGAAAAGATAGTTCTGCGGGAGAAAACATCGTTGCGAAGGTGAGGCTTCAGTATGGTGCTTTTTCCTTCTATATGCGCCATTTCTCTGATTGTTTGATGATTCTTTTTTAGGAAGAAGAATATAACTTAACAAAAAAAGAAGAAAGAAAAATTTTCGGGTTTGCCAAGCCAGTGTGAAAACCGAAGGGAGTAATTTTGTATGTTCTTCGATAATGAATGATATGTTAATGAACTAAGGATTGTGTTAGGGATTCCTTCTTTTCCTTTTTTTTTTTTTTGGCCCTTGGTATTGTTTGCCTCTTGTTTCGCTTCATCAATTCCTTCCTTTCTTCTCAGCCTCATTGCGGTGTCTGGGCTCTGATCTCCATGCCATCACGCGCCTGAATAATTCCCTTTGCTGCTGTTTGCTCTGTTCTCTGCCGGTTCTTTGAATTCCTTCCCACCTCTTCGATTCTGCTCTCTCCTTCATCGGATTGAGTCTGGTAAGGGATTTCGCTCTTTATTTTCATATTTTTGCCCCTTCTGGATTCCTTGGTTCCCTTTTCGTTTTATGATTCTGATATCCGTTTCAGGTGAAACCAATTTTCGTTTTTTAAACCATTGTTGTTTAATGGTCCTTCAGGATTGAAATCCTTTGTAAAGGTTCATGGTTGATCTCGTTCTTGTATTTTTCTGGATAGATTCCATGTAGTTCATTTTTTGGAGTTTGAGCTCATAAGCTATTGTTGGCTGTGTCATTAGGATATTTATAAGGAACAAGAATAAGATTCAATTTACCATATTGTACTTAGTATAGAGCACATTGCGCTGTTATTGAATCATGATCTAGGCTATTGTTAGGGTTGGAACTTAGAATTGGGTTCATAGCTTTTTACTGGACTAAGATTCAGTCGACCATTTTACGGTGGTTACTGACGGAGTACATTGTTATTTTTCAATTCATGCCTCCACCTACCTTGGCCAAGGCACTTCCACTTCTGTCTAGGAATACCTAAAGGTGGAAAGGAAATGAATAAATTATCATTTCCTTTGCCGCAATTTAGATGAGTGGGTGATGATTCTAAGAAAAGTTAACAACCACTGTATGAACTGTTGCTGCATTGTATTAATCAACTACTGGGAAAAAATGTGATGGACATATCTGTAGATTAGTGAAAAAATGATTATGTTGCTTGATTTTGTGGTAACTAACTTGATAACCAGAGTACTTACTGGCCTTCCGTAAGGTTTTGAAGGGGATGATTTTTTGTGTTCCCATGAATTGTGACTGGCAGGGAAATGTGTCTCTGTTCACAAGTTATTTATAGTTGGGTGAGATTTTTTTATTGTTTGGGTTTTTGAAAGAAACTATGCTAACTATTGTGTAGGGGACTGGTGGGAAGATATTTGTGCATATTGCTAGGTTAGAGTGATAGCAATGTTAAGATTTAAACGAGTGATGTAAGTTGCGCCGGATGTAGTTTTTCGTTTGATTTGATTCATGGTCTTTCTTAGTGGTTTCTCTGCTGGATATCCAATGGAATTTGAATGCATTATTGTGTTGACTCTTTGTATGTGTTTTTATAGACGTAATTGCTCTTTTTTTTTTTTTTTAATTGTGTCTTCAAATTTGTAATTAATCAAATCGTGCAATGTCTTTCAATTAGGAGTTCTATGTGGAAAATACATACATTTTTTTAGTCACATTGGGAGGGTTTTAACTCTAAATCTCTACACGTACTCCACCTCACCTTGATCACATGAGCTAATCTCAGGTGGCTGGGATTGCATCCTATGCATACTTGATTGTATGATTGAATAGCGTTATGCTGCTAATATTGAAATCAAGCATGATTTGTTTGTATTAGCTATCTCTACAAATTAAATGTTCATGTCTTTACACATTTTGATAACTTTGTCACTCTTTGGATATTACGTTCTCGTAATACTCTTAATGTTCATATCCTTAATGCAGTGTATTATCCTTAATGGTTCTTCAGGATTGAAATCCTTTGTAAAGGTTCATGGTTGATCTCGTTCTTGGATTTTTCTGGATAGATTCCATGTAGTCCATTTTTTGGAGTTTGAGCTCATAAGCTATTGTTATCGTTGGAATCAGGTTCACAGATTTTTCTTGGCTTCGTCATTAGGATAATTATAAAGAACAAGAATAAGATTCAGTTTACCATATTGTGCTTAGTATAGAGCACATTGCGCTGTTATTGAATCATGATCTAGGCTATTGTTAGGGTTGGAACTTAGAATTGGGTTCATAGCTTTTTACTGGACTAAGATTCAGTCAACCATTTTACGGTGGTTACTGACGTAGGACATTGTTATTTTTCAATTCATGCCTCCACCTACCTTGTCCAAGGCACTTCCACTTCTGTCTAGGAATACCTAAAGGTGGAAAGGAAATGAATAAATCATCATTTCCTTTGCCACAATTTAGATGAGTGGGTGATGATTCTAAGAAAAGTTAACAACCACTGTATGAACTGTTGCTGCATTGTATTAATCAACTACTGGGGAAAATGTGATGGACATATCTGTAGATTAGTGAAAAAATGATTATGTTGCTTGATTTTGTGGTAATTAACTTGGTAAACAGAGTACTTACTGGCCTTCCGTGAGGTTTTGAAGGGGATGATTTTTTGTGTTCCCATGAATTGTGACTGGCAGGGAAATGTGTCTCTGTTCTCAATTTATTTATAGTTGGGTGAGATTTTTTTATTGTTTGGGGTTTTGAAAGAAGCTATACTAACTCGTATAGGGGATTTGTGGGAAGATATTTGTGCATATTGCTAGGTTAGAGTGATAGCAATGTTAAGATTTAAACGAGTGATGTAAATTGCATTGGATGTAGTTTTGGTTTGATTTGATTCATGGTCTTTCTTTGTGGTTTCTCTGATGGATATTCAATGGAATTTGAATGCATTATTGTGTTGACTCTTTGTATGTGTTTTTATATACGGAATTACTCTATTTTTTTATTGTGTCTTCAAATTTGTAATTAACCGAATTGTACAATTTCTTTGAATTAGGAGTTCTATGTGGAAAATACATACATAGGTTTTAAGTCTAAATCTCTACACGTACTCCACCTCACCTTGACCACATGAGCTAATCTCAGGTGGTTGGGATTGCATTCTATGCATACTTGATTGTATGATCGAATAACGTTATGCTGCTAATATTGAAATCAAGCATGATTTGTTTGTATTGGCTATCTCTATAAATTAAGTGTTCATGCCTTTACACATTTTGATAATTTTGTCTCTATTTGCATATTACATTCTTATAATACTCTTATGTCTTGTTTAGTAGGAAGCATTGAAAATGAGGGATAGAGATTGGGATTGCAATTAAAAAAATCATTAAAATAGTATTTAGTAGGAGTAATTACTTGTTGTATGGGATTAGGAAAACCCATAGAGGTGGGATTGGGGAATACCACTTCCTTTGATGGTATTCTCCAATCCCATATATATGGGTTTGACTAATCCCATATAACAAGCAATTTCTTATGCTAAGCACTCTTTTAATAATTTTTTTCAATCCCAATCCCAATCCCTCTCCCTAATTTTCAATGCTTTCTGCCAAAGACAACCTTAATGTTCAGATCCTTAATGCAGCGTATTATTATCGGTTCATTGTGTTTTCAACTGTAATAGGAAACTAAAGATGGTTCCTGAAGAAGTTATGAAAGCTATTTTCCCTTTGCTGGAGGGTGTTGATCTTGCTTCCTGCATGGTAGTATGTAAGCAGTGGAGAGACATAGCCCGAGATGATTACTTTTGGAAATGTCTTTGTGCCAAGAGATGGCCCTCAATCAACAAGCGACCTAATCCTCCTACTGTGAACTACTATAAGTTATACCAAAGCTTTTATAAACGCCAGCGTCGAAAAACTCTTCTCCCTCCCAGAATTTCCTTTGAAGATTTGGAGTTCTTCATTGACATTTGGGCTGAGAATAGATTACTTTTCTCGGAAGTGGTTCCTGGCTCCGTGCTGCAGCAAGGAGTTAAAATTCCACCTCCTGGAGTTTGTGAAATGCTTAAATATCACTTGGATGGCCCTGAATTTAAGATGACATTACCTGTTGAACCTAGGATTACCGTATCTTCGAACCAGACTGCAACAGTTAGTGTCTCTGTGTTGGCTGGGCGGAAGGATTCAAATAAGGTTGCTCGCATCATTAATAAGTCTACGTTTGATTACATTGATCAGTCATCTTACAGGGCCTTGGCTTTTGATTATCTCGACATATCTCCTGCCTATCCCTTTTTGTCTGGCATCCGGGCATGGATCTCTCTGCTATTTATGGGAGATGGAAATGATGGAGCCATGGATGTGTTTGGTATACAGATGGATTTCTGTGATGTGGCAAACACCAAGGAAGAAGTCCTGTGGCTATTGGACATGCTTGATTGGAAGTAAAAGGCTTGAAGTGTGATGATAGATCCCTAAACTAAAATAACTGGAAGTAATGCCAACATCCTGCGCTGATCTTCTTAGAGGTTTTACATGACTTCATAATTGGTATTATACCTTGAATGTTCACATTCTGTAAATACTTTATATGCTCACCATCATTAATGAGTACAATCTTTTATTTATTTATTATTTTTTGGCTTGGATGCACTAAGTTGGCCAAGTTAGAAGGTTCCAACAAGATTGTGAGGGCTTGTGTTTTGTATAAAATTGAGGGTCAGTCATATGTTTAGGACTTGTAAATCATATGGTTTCTTATAAATTTTATATTGTATAAAGCTTTTTGGATAGATGTTGATACACAAATATATAGCTTTTCATTCATGCTTTTTTAACAGAAAACTTGCATATGGTTAAATAAAGCTTTTGTTATGAAGATAATTAGGTTGTGAGAAAACATAACGCCACTCTTGTTCAAATGACAAGAGCCACATACATAGTGCAACTATGTGAGTTTTTTACGCCAGCAGAAGTTGATAAATTTGTTGGAATTTTTCAATGGCATGCTTAATAAGTCGAGTTGGTTTAGATATGATAACAACCGTTAATTTTTTTTAACCTTTTTGCAGTGGTAATTAAGCACTCATCTTGAGAGAGAACACAATATGAAATTAATAAAATGAGGGAAAGCATGAATAAGCATCACTACTTGTCTCAATTTATTAATTGGCTTATTATTGTCACTGAAAAAAGGGAAGAGCTGTGCCAATGCATAGGTTCTTAACATGAGTTGAAATCTGTCAACTTACAGAGAATTACTGAGTTTTTTTTAAAAAATAATAATTACTAAAAAGTTCTAATAACAAGTGAATAGTTAAAACTTGTTATTATTTTTTATGTTCAAATTTGTTATTACAAGCTACTTGATTGTTATGGAACTTTTGGGTGAATAATTTTTTTTTTTTGAGACTTCATAGTAACTATCCTTTATATCTATTCATGCATGCACGTTTCGTCGGAGAAGAATAAAAAGTCTGCTGTTTAGAGTTGCGAAAATTAGTGATTTCTGGGAATTTCATAACTTTCTTTGCAAAACGATCAAAAAGCTCATCAACAACTCCCTCTCCAAAATGCTTCTCATTGAGCACTTCATGCACAGCCCTCGCTGAGGAAACATAAGTTTCAATGTTTGGTAGAAACTTTCTATCCATTTCCTCGAGGCTTAAATCTTCGTTACTTTCAAGTATTTTCTTCAGATAATTCAGGTGTGGGAAATATGTGGGCACATTGTAAGTGTCCACCTTTTCTTCACTTACTAGCCCCTGCAGTAATAAGAACCGTGTCGAAAACCAAAACTTGATTTAAATTCTCTTACTTAGCAATAAATGGCAACAATTAACAGATTTCTCGCTCAAAAGCTTACGTAACAAATGGAGTGAATTTCTTTAATTCTCCCCCCGCTTTTTGTCTTAATTAAACAAACCCTCCTTTATTTTAAAAACATACACTTAAATTCAAGCTACAAAAAAAATATTTATGTTATGAGTCCCACATTGGGGAATCTCACAAGTGTTGTGGGGTTTAAAAGTTCAAGGGGCTCTTCCTCCTAATAGGCTAGTCTTTTGAGATTGGGCTCTCCTCTTGGGCTTATGCTCATCACATTGGTGCTTTCATTGAGAGTTGGCCAACCGGAAAGGGCTACCTGCGGAGGGTTCTGACCGGTAAGAAGACCGAGTGAAGTGCCGTAGAGTGGAGCCGCCGGGGATGTCGGCTCTCGAGAGGGGTGCTCTTTTATGAGTCCCACATTGGGGAATCTCACAAGTGTTGTGGGGTTTATAAGTTCAAGGGGCTCTCCCTCCTAATAGGCTAGTCTTTTGGGATTGGGCTCTCCTCTTGGGCTTATGCTCATCACAATTTACTAATTATACCTTTTATCATACTTTTTTGGTTCAAATATGAGACTCACTTTGTAAATTATATTACAAAGTAAGTCTCATATTTAGGACTGGAAGAGTACTAAATTCCTAATTTTGACTAAAATTATTTTGAAGAATAAAATTTTTCTCTAACTTTTTTATTTTTGCAAATAGTTATCTATTTGTTGTTTTTGTTATATTGGGCAGAAGCTCAAGTAATTTAGTTAACTTACACATAAAAACTTGATTAAAAATTTGATTAATTCTACTATTAAATATATATGTAACTATATATGTTTATGAATGTTTGTGAAAAAAATTGTCTTTAAAGTGTTTAAGTTATATATATAATATGAGCATCATTTATGTTATATACGATGAACAAAAATATGCATTCAAAGTATGTTTTTAACCATTTAAAAGAAATACATAAGTTTCAATGGATGTGATGACAAATTAAAATTGTAAAATTTTATAATATAATTAAAATTAACAATTTTTATAACATAGTATAAAGTTTGAAATCTTTTGGTTGTATAAAAACTATTTTTGGCAAACATAGATGTTTAAATAATTCTCATGTCAAATAGGACTATATTTGTCAAAACACAAATTTAAGAGTGAAGCTTAATGTTAATTAACAATTGGATATATGAAAATAAAATATCAAATATACAAGGAAGCTTTGTATAACATACATTTTAATTTTAATGAAGGCTTATATATGTTTTTAAAATAGAGAGAATTTTTTTGTAATTTAAGTAAAACAAAGAGCTTATTAACATATTTTACTCTGATGAATGTTAGTAGGGAAAAAAAAAGTACGCATTAAAGAATTCAAACAATTACATACCAATCTGGCCATGTCCATTAGACAACTTCCCAAGAGTTCAAGTTCTTTGCCAGCATACAAGTCTGTACTAAAATCAACCACATCATGAGCAGCATATGTCACAATTGCCATTAATTCATTGCTCACTAGCTCTTGTGCTCTGGCATGCAGAAATGTCTCCAAATCCATCTTAAACTGTCTCTTATAAGCATCTTTAACTTCACTTGGAGCATTAGTATATTAAATTCTTCCCTTGTTCCAAGCACACCACAGCTTCTATCAGTAAGCTCTCTGGGCAACTTAGATAGCCAATTCAGTGCTGAAGATAAATGAACTAGATGCAAGCTTTGTCCTGGAAACAAGCGTCCATAGAAAGAGCCAGGAATTCCAGCTGCAAAGTAGTTTCTATTGGAAGGAAGCTTTTGAAAGAGAGTGTTGAAATCATTTGAAGCTTGATCATTGAAGAAGACTAGGATTTCTGGGGTAGATTGATTTTGTGATTGGCATTGGATTCGTATTGCTTCTATTATGTTTTAAACTGCAATGAAGGTGTTTGGTCTAGTGGAGGGCCCCAAGTCAACTATGCAAATTGGGTTTGTAGAAGAAGCACAAATGGTTTTTAAATCAAATTTGCTAGCAATCGCACTTTGGAGAGGGTTCTTGACTGCTTCAATTGCTGATCTATGTACAAATTATTGTTTATATGATTATGTGGTTATATTTAAATGTTTTTGGAACTTCAGTTGTGGCTAGGTAAAGTTGGCACAACAATTTAGATTATTTTTCTTCCAATAAGGGATGAAACCTTTGGCCAGAGAGAAAAAGTTGACAGAACCAATAACGTGTGTGTGTGTTTGTGAAAGAAAAATGTATACCTGTAGCTATATTTTGTATGTCATTTTTAATATGTTTAAATAGATATAATAATAAATGTTATAGTTATAAAGATAAAGAATAAAATATTAGAGAAAGATATAATCACTTTAATAAAAAGGAATTACATGTGTAAAATGACAATTAAAGACCATCTAACAAATTTAATGTAATATAAGGATTTATATGCTATTTAAACTTGCGTATGTATGAATGATTGAATTGCACAGATTAAAAAGTAGTTAAAATTGATTAAAAATAATAAATATGTTAAAAATATAATTTATTTTCTTTAAAAAAACACTTGTATTTATGGATAGTGAGAGAAAGGGAGCAAAAGGATCGAGGATGAACAAATTGTTAATTAATGCAGTGGGACTAACTAATAATTAAAAGAGATAAAAATTAAAAATAGTACTAAAATTTTTTAATAAGTTATTAATATCTCTTATAAATAGTAGCATCTTATTCTTATAAAAAAAACAATTTCTTATATATAGAAGCTGATGGAGTAATATTGGATGAAACTAAGATCACATGCTTGAGAAGTAGGGTTTTGAGCATATAGCTTTGAGGACCATCTCCTCCCTTCATAGCAAATGATTCAAGAGATTCATTCTTCATCTCTGTTTTTCTTTTTTTAATTATATCTGCATGATTCTAGGATGGTTAAAGTCGGTGACAATAGTTTTCTGAAGAGTATAAGGAAAAAAGATTAAAAAAAAAAGGGTTATACATAATGTTTTTAATTAAGAAGTGAATGATCGATCAACACTTTCATCCCTTCCCACCTATTTCAGTTATAGGATGCAAATTAGGTTGATGTGAATTTTTCTTTTAGGATACAGTTGGTGAAAACTCTTATGCCCCTTTTGGTTCATGGAATCTGTAGGAATGTAATGTAATATAATAGTTGGGAATGTAATGGAATGCAATGTGGATTACAAGGGTTTGTTTGGTATGTCGTGGGATGAATATATTATTTAACTAAAAAATTACTCTTTTACCCTTAATCACAACAAAAACTCTCCCCACATGATCAACATCATCATCATAGATCAAGCACAAACCACAACATAATCAAACCCAAAGAACGAGCTACAATCTGACCAATGAGTTTAAAGATGACTATTTGAAAACAAATATGGAAAAATACACAAGTTACTACTGATGCGAAGATGAAGATGAGGATTAGAGGAAGATCTGACTAATAAATATTAACTAAATGAGTGTTCCAATTCAAATTAATTTCAGATTTGAGACTAGGAGAAGAACAAAGGTGATGTAATGAGGAAGAGGATGATATCTGAGCCAAATCTACTACTAAGAGGAACAATGGTAGTGCTAGGAGATGAATGATGGTGGAGCAAGATCTATGAAAAGGTGTGAACTATAACAAAGAGAAAGACGCTTATGAGCATCAGAGAAGATGGTGAATGAGGTTCGTGGTGGAGGACACCGGTAAGGAGATGAGGAGGGAGGAAGGGCACATGAATAGAGATGGGTAATATGGGAAAAAGGCAGTGGGAATAGGGATTACATAGGTTTATTATAACCTGTTTGGTTCATTGAATGATATAGAATGTAATGCAATGTAATAGAATGTAATGGAATAATGATTACATGAGTTTGTTTAGTACGTTATTAAGGAAAGACGATGCATAGACATAAAAATGTTTGGTTGGATTACAAAGAACATGAGAATAGGTAAAAATAATATACCAAAAGACAAAATTACCCTTATCTAAATGTTCAAATATATGTAAAATTAAAATTGTCTATTTTTTTCCCTCTAAATGTATAATAACTGTATCCACACATATAATAAAAAATAATAAATAAAATTACCTTTATCCGTCCATATGTATAACACTTCAAAATATATATTTTTATATATAATTTGGCTCGTATCCATATATATATATTAGTTAAAGTATCATGCAGGTTTGATATTTAAAATTGTCTCCATATGTAATGTATATCCAAATATTTTTTTATGCACCCACATATTATAACAACAACTATAATTTCTATATAAATCCAAAATTAAGTTAATAAGTCAATATATAAATTTAAACATAAGAACTAATAAGTTAAATCATGTCCATAATTATCAATTCAAATAAAAAGATGTTGAGATAATGTCTACAAATCCCAAAATACTAACAAAAGAAATATTTAAAGGTGCTACTACTATATATCGAATTATCTATTCAAGAAGGCTATACACCCAAACACCATCTCGTTTTCAGGGACTAGTGAGAATCCAACTGCCAATGATGAAGACTCGGTAATCTTAGAATGAGCCTTGTTAATCTCTCCCCATGTAAGACTTGGTATTCTCATAAGTTGCCTGAATATTTCTTTTGCCCTGCCCACATCAACAGGACAAATCTTCTGGAATCCTTCCGCATCTCTGCAAATTCTTTACATAAATTGTCAGCAAACTTCATCATTGTGTTGTTCATGTTTGAAGAACATTCCTTCAATGCCTCAACGAGCACCTCTATGGCATCACGACTACTCCTTCGTTTTTGTTTTGCAGATAAATGGACATCAATTGGCTGCGAAGGTTGTTGCTCAAGTGCAATAGAATTTGTATCTGTGTTGTGTACTTGTTCAGCATTGACTTCAGCTTCAATTCTAGAATCTTCTTCATCATCCTCACCAAGGATATAGGCATATCTGCTCCTACTCCATCTGCATGATCTTACCCAAACATATGATAGCTCTTCAAAATGGGATAAGCATCTATTCCTAAAATTTCTAACTTCTTTCTTAACCTGAAAAATGAAAAATAAATATAATTATGTATGAAGAATGACTTGTTGCTTGTCTTCATCCATAATTTACTGTACCCAGCCAAAATAAAGTTATAGTATAAAATTTTAAGCAACATTTTAGATGGGATAATATAATCTCCATATATAACATAAACATGTTACTATAATTTCAAGCAAATCATATATATAAGCAAACATATAAATAAATTATTTAGTAAAAGCATGTCATGAATAGAAATCTAGAACCCAAAAAAATACAAAGAATAGGTACACACTAGTAGAAGATAATTACGAGCTTCATTTTTTTTTGGGTTAAAGTTGTGATGATCACGAAATATAAATAATAGGTAAAAATTTTGTATTAGGAAAAATACTAATGAAGTTGGTGTTATATTGGATAAATATATTTAAAACATTTGATAAAGCTAGAGTTCTTATTTAAATTCATTCCATACATCTGTATAAAACATTAATCTTTTTTCTTGAAAAGTGCTTTTGAAAGAATGAGCTCCAACTTCTTAATAAGTATGTAGAATTACAATTTTGGAAGGAAAAAAAACTGAGTTAATCTTTTTCTTTCAAATAGAAAATATTAATTGAAAAGGTTTGTTAAAAAATTGAAGTTGATTTGAAGGGTCGCCTGATAGCGACAAAAATCATAAAATGCTAAATAGATGGTTTGATAAAGTTTCATGTTTAACTGGTATAGGTCCATTGGTATGTTCAGTAAAGAAAAACATACTCTTCACATGCATCCAATCTATTTAATATTAGTTTATTATCTCAACAAATTGAAAAGAATATAGTGCACACATGAAGAAACAACAAAAGAAAACCCACACGAATGAGGCAAGGAATGATTACCTTTCTAGCGCAATGATGAGCAACAACTTTGGTGTTAGCGGCAGTGAGAGAGACGGCGGTAGTAGTGTGAATACAATAGGCAGCAATTGATAGGGTTTATGAGACCACGAGGGTTCTACCAACAGGACAGTCGTCAGTGTCCCTATAATTCACAATGGGATTTATTATATGATGCATTACGTTGTCCATGACATCTTCTACGCCTTGAGTTGCAAAATTTTTTCTCTGCTTCAAAGTAGTGGCATCAGATCTTAAATCCCAAGAAAGGATGTTAGCATAATATAAGAAGTGCCACAACTCATGATTCAATGGAGTCTTGGTTTTATATTTAGAATGCTTTAACAGTTTTTTGACTCCAAGGGAACATGCAATTTGATCCAAAGTTGGTTTTAGAAACTTCACTAGCTTGAAACTTAGTTGTTGTCGTGGCTTCTTAGGTTGATATTAGGTAAGGCAAAGTCTTATCAAATTGCATCCTGGTATTGAACGGCTCTATGGGAGAAATAAAATTGAGAAGAGCCTACTATGCTCACAAAATCTAGCTAATAACTAGAAATTTTTCTCTCGTGCGATACATGGACTAGAATATTTGATTAGATTTTAAATTCTAATCAATGTTCGCTTCTTATAGGAGTATGATTTTTTTTATTCATTCACATGAGATTTGAATTAGATATGCAGAATTTAGGGAAAACATATGAAAATTTAAAATTATTTATTTATTTATCCATTTAGGCCCCTAATTGACATACGATTTAATTATGATAATTTCTATTTAATTCAATATATTCAAATCTCAATTAAGATATTATTCAAATTCAAAATTAATTATTAGTTTCTTCATTTACACTAGATCTATCCATGTTTACATGATTCATGGTTTAGTTAAACTCTTTTAGTGCAGCTAATTGCATCTTACTTTTTGCTATTCTAAACTTTGAATAGGTTGATATTCTTAGAAGACTCTATGACCGTTTGGGTTCACATAGCTTGAAACTATTTAGAGAAGCAGAGCTTTATGGACTGTCAGATGATTTTGAAGAGGAACTAGAGGAGAATTTTAGAATCATGGAGAAGATTAAGAACTACATAACTTGGATTGAATCTGAAGGAAGAGAACGTAAATCAATGTATGAAGAAGAGCACACTCTAAATGCAGAAACTGCATCCTTTGTTCTTGGTAATAACTCTTCATCCACTGCTTTAAGTGATGAAGAGGTGGATGAAGAAATTAATGTTGAATCCCCTCACATCTTTGAGCTTAATAATGACATATCTATTACTTCTAATGGTTGTAGCTTAGAGGAGCATGAGCGTGATAGCAATATTGTACCTTTAGATGTAGATTTGAGTAAGACTTATGCTAGCCTTAATCCTTTGAGCAATAATTCTTGCCAAGATATTGGGCAGCTTTCTACTTGTATGAACTTAGATAATCATTCTAACCACGAATTGCCTTTAGGACCTAGTGATATGCATGATATGCATATTGATGAGACATCTTCTCCTTCTTTATCTTCTTCTTTTATTCTTCCCCCCATTTGTGAAAGTGATGTGATGAACTCCAATTTTAGATTGGATTCTACATCTTCCACTTCACACAAGAGTGAAGATAAAGTTGATGCTTGAAATTGGTCACTAGTCCTAAAGTCAATTCATGTTTTCATGAGTTTGATTCACCTATTCTTGACTATTGTGTTGACTTGAGCATGCTTACTATTTCCATTGACAGGGCACTCCATATTGCTAGTCACACATCTTTAGAATCATTTGAATTTCTTGAGCATGATTGTGTACCCAATGATCACACACTTTTGCTAGATGATGTCAAGCATGCTCATCACTCTTACTCTCAAGTCTTATCATGTGATTTGCCCCCTAATATACTAAGATTAGACATAGATTTGGATTCTATTGACTTAATTGATGTTATTAATGAAACTGTATTTCTTGACTGTGATGTTACCATTGATGACAACCAAGTTAATTATGATGCCTAATGTTGCATGCTATATGCCTATGGATGACTTGATTGACTTTGTTGGGTGTGAGAAGTACCTGTCTTCTTTTGAATCTCATTTTAGACTCCTCACATCATATGCTTTGAAGTGTAATTCTATACATATGGTTCCTTCCACATATTTAAGCATTTTGATTCATACATTATACTTGGTGAAAGATAAGACACTACTATGTTCTTGTTGAATTCTTTGTAGGATAATCACTTTAGGAGTTTCCATGATGGTCACTCTCCACCATACATCTTGGAGCCTTTACTGATTGATCTAGAACCACCACCAAGGAAAAAAGAACAAGGAGAAAGACTTATTCTAAAAAAGTTCATGATTCTCATCCAAGATGAGAAGTTTTTATTTCAAGAGCTTGAGGAGATTTCATTACAAGGTTGTCCCTTTCCTCCCTCTACTTTCTTGTGATCACATAGGCCTTTAGAGCAGAGATGATGGTTTTTTCTATTATGTGCGATGCTTTTCTAAATCAGAGGACTTTGTTGACACGGGTGTACCTGAGAAGGACATGGCTCCTGGCAGCATCTACTCGATCAGCCGCTGTTGTAAGCGTACTGCTGTAATAGAAGTCATGCTTGTTTCTCAACATGACCCCCTGCACGATTTCCAATCTCAATTATTTAAGGCCCTGGGCTTAGAAGATCATTTCCCTCAATGAAGAGATGACCCCTCAGTTCTCAGTGATTTTGGATGTTTGAGTAATATAGAGCCCCAAGCTATGAAGATTACTACACTAGTGTGAGGTTCAGGTATATAATGGGCTTACAATTATGTTACAACTCCAATGCAAAAAATTAGTAGAAAAGTTCAAGGTGAATCCTCACATACATAATTTCGTTGCAGAATATTGGTTGACATATGCAGAGAAGACTAATATTTTGGGTTGTGATTGGGCTGACGTAGTTGTTCACGAGTTTGAAATGCAGCAAGTTGCAGGTAATACTTATTTCTATAGCTACACTTAGATTGAGTGAAATAATATGTCTTTAGTGATATCATAGTGTGTGTTGCATTCTTGTGTAAGCTCTTTGAACCATCTAAACACCTCATTATGCATGATATGTTGTAGCACACTAATTCTTAATGATTGAATCTTGATTTTTGTTTGGGGTGTGGATCTCCAAATTTCTTTAGCTTAATAAGAATGACACCATGCATACTCACCTATTATCTCATTGGCCAGGATGGGGGAAGCAAAATCTACTTTAGTCTTTAATGCATTCTGACATATACATGTACATAGCTACGTTATACATATGGGAGAGAAAGAGTAGTTGGATTGAACAGATCAAAATTTTATGTGGAAGTTGTTTGTTTTGCCACGTGTATATAATGGATCTACTTTCCCTCTTTTTGTACAAATGTCCCCAACATGCAAAAACTCCCTTCTATTCAATAATGGCTATATTACACATACTTATCCCATCTTGTTCTTTATTTTTATTTGCGCCCTACTTGAAATAGGCTTAAGTTTATCCATCAAGAATGGACTTATAGGCTTTTTCTAACCATTTATGATAATTGATTATTAAAAGTACTGATCATTGGAGATAATATGTATATTTTGCAACTATATCAATTGCTTTCTAATTTTTGAGACTTTCCTATCATCATGCATATCTATGTTTCTCATTTTTATTGCTTATTTAGGGTATGAAGAGAACGTTCAAAAGCTACGTGTGAAGCATAAAAGGGAATTTCACAATTTATTTGGTAAATGTGCGATAATGATATGGTACAAATCTTTAAGAAAAATGATTTCATTCGATTGTATTGTGGCAATTTCATTCTCAGTTTGCCACATGAATAATGAGGTAGTGTTGCCTATAGACATCTCACAATGGGCTGTTGAAGGAAAACTTCCATATTTATCTGCCTATGTTGAAAATGAGAAACATATAGGGCCATCTAAAAGTTCATGCCCTATAAATTTAGATCAAATGTTCAAAACTTCACGATATGTTTTGCCACAAAGATTGACTTTGACTGCAACAATTATTGATTCAATAGGCTTGGAGATACCTCCTGTGAACTTTTTTGAGATAGTTAGTTGATATATCTGATAGTTAAAGCTTCCTTATAAAAAGATTCTTCCTAAAGCAATGTTTATCTATGAATGGTCTTTGTCCCCTATTTTATGGTTATCCACAAATGACTCAAGGTTTCCAACTCGCTTATGTGTTCTCTCAATTATAATAGTAGTCATTAAGATGTTGTATAAAATTAATGGTTTTGGATTCTGGGAGAGGAGTTTGTCTACTAATGAGGCTACAAGTGGTTCTATAGGCAAAAGAAAATGTTCAATGGATTTAAATCTTGAACGAGATCAACTTGAAGAGGAAGCTGCCAAGCTGCTTTGCCACCTTCATTCCTTGTACACCGGGGTTCCAAAATGATATGATGTGAACTTCTTGAAGCTTTTATTTTAGTTTTTTATTTCATAAATTACTTATAAACAAAAGATGCATTTAGTTTTCTAACAAATTAAGTTTAATTTTTTTTAAAAAAAGAAAAAATGATTAGATTAAAATATCATTATTTGAGAACTTTTTGTCTACATTTAACGGTGTAGTGTAAATATTTTTGGGGTAATGAAACTAATACTGTTAGGGTTTGAAGATTATTAACACTATTTTGTGTGAAATCAGCGGATGAATGTGCACTTTTAGTTTACTTACATATGAATTTTCCTTCTATGGTAACTTTGTTAAAGAACTTGATGTTTTTGGGTATGTGGAGTTAGAACATGTAAAGGACTGGCAAACATATCTCAAATATTATGAGGATTCTGTCTTTGCTGGATTGGAACCACCTTTTGAAGACTACGAAGAGAAGAGAATGGTGGAACACTTGGGAAATTTTTATCTGAAATGGTTTAAAGATGGAGAGGTAAAATAAAATCCTAAATATTCTTACAAAGTTTATTTCCAATCGAAGACAATTTATCCAGAGCTTATTCCAAAGAGCTTTCAATAGAACTTGGAATCACTTAATTTTGATTTTTCTAAAATTAGTTATGAATTTTTAAGTTTGGCCAATTGATGGGTTACTGTGAATAGTACCCATGAGCAAAAATTTTCAAAGTCCAATTTTTAGTTACACAATGAACAAAAATATGCATTCAAAGTATGTTTTTAACCATTTAAAAGAAATACATAAGTTTCAATGGATGTGATGAAAAATTAAAATTGTAAAATTTTATAATATAATTAAATTAACAGTTTTTATAACATAGTATAAAGTTTGAAATTTTTTGGTTGTATAAAAACTATTTTTTGGCAAACATAGATGTTTAAATAATTATCATGTTAAATAGGACTACATTTGTCAAAACAAAAATTTAAGAGTGACGCTTAATGCTAATTAACAATTGCATAGATGAAAATAAATTTCAAATATATAAGGGAGTTTTGTATAACATATATTTTAATTTTAATGAGGCTTATATATGTTTTTAAAATAGAAAGAAACTTTTTGTAATTTAAGTAACACAAAGAGCTGATTAATATATTTTACTCTGATGAATGTTAGTAGGAAAAAAATATGCACAATTACGTACCGATCTCGCCATGTCCATTATACAACTTCCCAAGAGTTCAAGTTCTTTGCCAACATACAAATCTGTATTAAAATCAATCACATCATGAGCAGCACATGTCATAATTGCCATTAATCCATTGCTCACTAGCTCTTGTGCTCTGGCGCGCAGAAATGTCTCCAAATCCATCTTAATCTGTCTCTTATAAGCATCTTCAACTTCACTTGGAGCATTAGTATAGTAAATTCTTCCCTTGTTCCAAGCACCACAGCTTCTGTTAGTAAGCTCTCTGGGCAACTTAGATAGCCAATTCAGTGCCGAAGATGAATGAACTAGATGTAAGCTTTGTCTTGGAAACAAGCATCCATAGAAATGGCCAGGAACTCCAAATGCAAAGTAGTTTCTATTGGAAGGAAGCTTTTGAAAGAGTGTTGAAATCATTTGAAACTTGAACGTTGAAGAAGACTAGTATTTCTGGGGTAGATTGATTTTGTGATTGGCATTGGATTTGTATTGCTTGTACTATGTTTTGAACTGCAATGAAGGTGTTTGGTCCAGTGGAGCACCCCAAGTCAGCTATGCAAATTGGGTTTGTAGACGAAGCACAAATGGTTTTTAAATCAAATTTGCTAGCAATCGCACTTTGGAGAGGGTTCTTGACTGCTTCAATTGCTGATCTATGTACAAATTATTGTTTATATGATTATGTGGTTATATTTAAATGTTTTTGGAACTTTAGTTGTGGCTAAGTAAAGTTGGCACAACAATTTAGATTATTTTTCTTCCAATAAGGGATGAAACCTTTGGCTAGAGAGAAAAAATTGACAGAACCAATAACGTGTGTGTGTGTTTGTGAAGGAAAAATGTATACCTGTAGCTGATAATTAATATTTTGCATGTCATTTTTAATATGTTTAAATAGATATAATAATAAACGTTATAGTTATAAAGATAAAGAATAAAATATTAGAGAAAGGTATAATCACTTTAATAAAAAGGAATTACATGTGTAAAATGACAATTAAAAACAATCTAACAAATTTAATGTAATATAAAGATTTATATGCTATTTAAACATGCATATGTGTGAATGATTGAATTACACAGATTAAACTTAAAATTGATTAAAAATAATAAATATGTTAAAAATATAATTTATTTTTTAAAAAAACACATGTATTTATGGATAGTGAGAGAAAGGGAGTAAAAGGATTGAGGATGAACAAATTGTTAATTAATGAAGTGGGACTAACTAATGATTAAAAGAGATAAAAATTAAAAATAGTACTAAAATTTTTAACAGGTTATTAATATCTCTTATAAATAGTAGCATCTTATTCTTATAAAAAACAATTTCTTATATATAGAAGCTGATGGAGTAATATTGGATGAAACTAAGATCACAAGCCTGAGAAGTAGAGTTTTCAGCATATAGCTTTGAGGACCATCTCCTCCCTTCATAGCAAATGATTCAAGAGATTGATTCTTCTTCTCTGTTTTTCTTTTTTTAATTATATCTGCATGATTCTAAGATGGTTAAAGTCGGTGACAATAGTTTTCTGAAGAGTATAAGAAAAGAATATTAAAAAAAAGTTATACATAACGTTTTTAATTAAGAAGTGAATGATTGGTCAACACTTTCATCCCTTCCCACCTATTTCAGTTATAGAATGCAAATTGGGTTGATGTGAATTTTTTTTCAGGATACAGTTGGTGAAAACTCTAGAGTGATAAGAATTTGAGTTTATCTCTAGTGTACTCAGGAATAAAGGCAATGCGTTTGATGTTTGTTATGTTAATTGTAAATATTTATAAACCATGAAGTAATGTCATTGAAATTGTCTCTTGACACAACATATCTCAAGTCATAATTGTGTTATTTCATGAACCAACAAATTCTTAAGTCATAATCATATGTTGTTTCATGAGCTATCATATTTTTAATAGACAAAGAATATTGAAAATAACTTTTTCATGAAGAGTCATATCCTTCTAATATTTAGGATTTCCTATAACAACTTTTCACCAAATAGTGATTATCACACCTTTAGTTGTAACCTTTTTATAAGGTGTCTCTAAGAATCAAACACACATAACCTACTTTTTGTATAGCTTAAAAGAGGAGTTGTATTGGGGAAAAAAAATCTATCAGAGAAAATACATGGCTATCATAACGGACAGAGGATGAGAAAATACATATCGTAGGCATAAGATACAGAGAAGTTAGAAAAGCATCGAGCTAACTTTGCTCAGAGAGCCAGAGGCATCTGGACTTTGTGAATTCCATATATATTAATGCAAACCGAGTAAAATGGTGACAAAAGACGATGTCATAATCACCCAATTGACCAAAACTTGAAATCAGATAACTGAACTGAAGGTATATATTATTCCAGAAGACAGATAAAACAAAATCAGAAGAGAAGCATGAATGTAATTTAGGAAGATATAGGAATGAAATTGTAGAAACTGAACTGAGCATGAAAGGCTTCCTCCATTAATGTGTCGATATAAGTGACATATGGAGCAGCCATTGCTACTAGAAAAAAGGTCAAAGTTGAGGGAAATTGATGATGTATTTTGGTGACGCTACAAGACAAAAGAGAGAAAGGAGAACTTCACCACCATAACCGCACTAGAATAGAGATGTTCATTGGTATGATATTAACAATTATCTCTATAAGGTTTCATCAAACTATGAACGACCTATTCTTACTAAACAACCCATATGGGAAAAAAAATATCAATTCTAAATGATGAGATTGAATGAAGAAATAGAATAGTGATTTCTACCTTTCTTTCTCTTGCTTCACCCTTCTTTCTTTCTTCTCTGTCTTTCAATCTTCCCACTCAATTTTCTTTTTGATGTGTGTTCTATCATTCTATATTCTCCCTCTTATATGGACAAAAATGAATCATCCATATCAATGACTCAATCAAATCTCGAGAATTGATTTGCACGTCAAATCTAAATTATTCATTATTTTCCTTTTTTAGAGATGCCCATAAAATTTTACCTAAAGTGTGTTCAATACTATATACTAACTATTATACACTTTTCGTTAGGGATGTGCATAAAACTTAGAAGTTTAATCTGACCCTTCTTAACCCAATCTGGTTTGGTTTAATCTATTGAAGAGAAAAGCAGCTTGATGAGACAAGTGGACTAACAGGATCAGACTAAGTTATTAGTCTAGTTAATTTAGTCTAGCCCGATATTTATATATATATATATATATTATAATATATTTATTAAATTTATATTATAATATATTTTACCATTTCGGATTGGGAGGTGAGTTTCTAATATACTTCCTCCTATCCACATTATAAGGAGCTTCTAGAGGAATAGGATATTCTAAGATGTAAGTCAATTGGAAGATAATTAATTTTTATTCACAAATTGAACCCCTATAAAAAAATATTCATTTCCAATTTTGCCAATTCTTTGTATTTTCTCTCTCTTCAAAAAATATGTCCCGTGCAATTAATCTAATGAGAGTTCACTCTTCTCTCTCCTTCTAAACATCATTTCTTATGAAAAGAATTTGATGAAATGACTATTCTGTCTCCTAGTAAATATTATTTTTGGTGGTTAGAATAATCTCAATTTTTTAGAAAAAATGAAGGAATAATAGACCTTTTTATTATCACAACCCCCTCGTCCACCGGTCTTCATTGTTTTTGCCTTTTATTATCATTACAAAGAAGGCGTGTGTTTTTAATTGGTTATTTGAATAAAAACAAAAAAGAAGAAAGATAATTTTTTTTTTCTTTCGTTGATTGTTTACCTTGGACATTGAAAAGGCCCATGAATGTAAGAGAAAATGCATTTAAAAATTATTTTTGTCCATACAAATTCTTTAATAAAAATAAGGAAAAAAGACACTAAAATAGCCTCAAAAATACTAAAAGACAAATGACAGTAGGTGAATTTCAAAATCCCAAATTAGACTCCGGGTACTATTTTGGAATTTTAAAATATTGTGAAATGACAACACTGTCCTTACTCTCGGTGACTACTTTCGTATAACTATTAACTACTCTTGTTTTCAAAGTTTTGGTGACAATTTTTATATAGCTATTGATTGCACAAGAGTAGTAAATAACTAAATAAAAAGTAGTCACTAGATCTACAACAACACTTAACGTATTTTTTGAATTTTTGGAACAAAAGTAGTCAATAGCAAAACTAGAATAGTCAATAGCTAAATAAGACTAGTCATCAAAATTTTAAAAATGAAAATAGTCAATCGCAATATTAAAGCAATCAGTAGCTAAACAAGAGTAGTCATCAAAGTTTTAAAAACAAATGTAATCAATAATTAAAAAAGAGTAGTCAATATATAAGAAAAAGTAGTCACTGGAACTCTGGCAACTAGTAATTAGAGTTTCGCTGATATGCCATCGGAGCTCCAGTGGCCAAAAGTGCTAAGGTGGTAGTATTTAAAACAAATAGTTAAAAAAAAAAAAGTAAACGGGTATTTGTGTAATTTTACAAGATTTGAAAATTTCAAAATGGTACCTGGGGTTTGAATTGCAATTTTAAAATTCACCTATCCTCATTTGTCCTTTAATATTTTTAAGGGTATTTTAGTGTCTTTTCCATAAGAGTAAAGAGGGGACACATCGCTCTTTTTTGCCTCTTCTCCGTTGTTGTTTTCTTGTCTCTTCTCCATCACTATTGAGTGTTGTTCCTCTTTTCCTTTGATTCTCGATTGTGTAGGAATTGATAAGCTCAAGATTCCTCTCCCTCTTTGTCATTTGGATCCTTTCTCTCCCTCCAAACTCTCCCCTCGATCTCTTCTCATGTTGCTGACGACTTGCTATTCCTAATTTTTGCCTGTCTCTTCCCTAGCGGCTGTGTGATTTAGGACTATATAGACTAGTCTGATGGTCTAGTGGACCGAACATAGTTTGGCCTGAACTTAGGTTTATATCGGACTAGGCCAAACCACGGACCACCATATTTAGCCCAAAGTAAATTTAGAATAGACCTCAGGATAGGCGCTAACTCGGGCTGGTCTGATATATGTATACCCCTATTTTTTGGACATACAAAAATATCCATAAACTTGCAAAACAAAATTAAAATTGACACAACTGTTAAGTTTGCCTAATGACCATTATTTTTTGTAGTGGAGTTATCACTAATGTTATAAAAGTACCAAAATACCTCCAACTCAAAAAAAAACAAAACCCAAAAAGGATAAAATTATAAAAATACTCATAAATTTTTAGCCAAAATACTTTCAATACCATATGCTTTTCAAAGGTGCAAAAGCACCCATGAACTTACAAATGAATTAATTCTTTTAGTTTTGACAAAAAAAACTTTATTAAATTTTATTATACTATTATAATAATAATTTCATGGTTGATGTATACATTTGGTCCTAAGTTTCAATTTAGTCCATTAAATGTATAAATTGTATTTTTAG